ATATAATAAATAATACTGCTAATAATAATAACATTATACAAAAGCAAATTGTTATGAATGAACTGAAAAAGCCTCCCGAGATGAAGAAGACATAAAAGCAGTGATTTTTCATATTTATGTAGGCTAGAAAATAATATGTTTTGTAATATTTTAATCCTTTATATTTATATTCTATATCTATTCTTATTATATCCTATATATATCCTTAATATTTACATTTTTTCATATGTAAAGATATTTGCCTATTGCTCTCTTGTGTGTATTAAGCAGTGTGTAAGCGAGGAGCAACTCTGTGCAGGAGTTTAGACCGGGTTAGTTTTGGTCTAATGAAAAATCTATTATAGTTTCTCAAAATAGCAACACACCAGCGGTCCGCCTCAGAACACCTTCCTTTCTAGAGCAGAACACCTATGGGTGCACAAATAAGCGCTAATGCATTTGCTATTTAAACAGCGTAGCGCAACGCCTCAAAACCACTCTTGCGCCAAGCTGAAACTACCAAAAGACTATTGCGCCGCGTCTTGCGCCACACTGCGCCGGGTGTATGATAGGGCCCATGGTGTGTATGGTTATATGTTAGTTGAATAAATGCTTTTTCCTTTTTTTTTTTCCTCTCTTTTTTATTTATTACATTTTTATTATTATAATTTTTTGTATGTTTTTTATTTTTATTTATTGCTATTATTGTTATAATAATTATTATTTCTTTGTATTTGTATTTAAACCCACATGTACAATTGTATATTTGTTAATTTTTGGCTTATGTGAGCGCTATCCCGCTGTTGGATTGGTATGGGTTTGGGGTTTGTATTGTTGTTCTTTCCCATTTGAAAAACTGAAAATCAATTAAAAAAATATTTAAACGAAAAATCCAATTCTGGATACATATTTTTAACTTTAACCATTGGAGTTAGGTATCTATAACTTGTCTATGACTAGAGGTTATATGCAATGAAAATATCTAGTTTAATTTTGACCGTACTGTAAAATAATATCCGTAAATTAGTATTTTCTGTATTTTGTGATTCATGTTTTTACCCACTTATTTATGTTTGTGAATTGCATTAGGGATCTTGATATCTCCTCCAGCAACTTTTGGATTCGGGCACAGCCTTAATGCTTTTGCGCCATGAGCTTTGCGCCTAGACCGGGGGTCACCAATCTCAGTCCTGGAGGGCCGGTGTCCCTGCAGGGTTTAGCTTCAACTTGCCTGGATGATTCAAGTATACCTAGTAAGACCTTGATTAGCTTGTTCAGGTGTGTTTGATTAGGGTTGGAGCTAAAATCTGCAGGACACCGGCCCTCCAGGAACAAGTTTGGTGACCCCTGGCCTAGCCTGTTAAAACAGAGCCCCTAGTCTTTGACCTAGTGACACATATACACCTAATATACATATACACCTCAGAGAAACTGTTTTGTGAACATTTGTAAGATAATTCATCGATTTCAACAATTTTCAATAATCACCTGAAAAGCATAACAATGACAAAAACCAGAGGCTTCGATATTGCGCTTGGTCATGTTATGCTAACCTTTAGGTCATTAAAAATGAAGATATTAATCGTTACAAAATATAGTCACGTTTTGACACGTCTTTAATCCCACACACAGAAAAAAAAAAAAAAGAGTAGAAATCTAAATTTTTAATGACACAGTCGGTGATGCATAACAATACATTAAGCAATGCAAAGTGTGTCTAAACAAGTGTACAATCAATGTCGAGATGTCAACTTCATATTAGTCCTTCCTTCAGCTCTATGAAGAGGAAACGAGTAGGCATTATTCAAAAAACATCCTTTTACATTCTGCATAAAAGCATCAGAGCAGCAAAAATGAGCATCCTTCCCACAGAAAACACGGTGGCCTGTAAAGCAGGCCATGTTTACTCGAGTGCGTCTTGTTCTTCTTGTTAAACTTGTGATATAAACACAAACATATTTGATCATTTTAAGTGTCCATTTAAAGATTATCTCATACAATTGATTGCTTTAATGGAACAGTTAGTCCCATATCTTCATCTCATGTCATGCTGGTAAACATTTGTGTTTCAGATAGAAGAAAAAGTCATGACGGTGAGTACATAACACATTTCATTCATAGAGCAGGTCATGTGGTCATTTAAAGTCTCTTAATATTGTGTCGGAGTCCTTTAAAACAGATTTAAATGCATCTACGCTCTGAAAACATTGTCTTTTTCTCTAAATATGTGTTTAATATTTGAGTCATTTCAAGATGATTTCAATACAGTTTGTTTAACGGGGTTTGTCTGAATCCAATACAGTTGATTTGGAGCTATAGGCCCTCCCAGCACCCCTACACTCCCGAAAGCCAGCTTTGACCTGATTGGTTGGCTGAGCGAGTCTATTTTGATTGGTCTTTCTGTTCTACACTACCTGACAAAAGTCTTGTTGTGGATCTCAAGTTGCAAGAGCAACAGATAGTAACTTGACTTGGACTAGTTGACTCTAGTTGATCATTTGGAAAGTGGCAGATCCCAATCATCACAAATACTGCAGAACACCTACTGGAACCGGCGTGGACCAAGATTCTCACAGAAATCAGTCAAGTTTGGTGAAAGAGAAATCATGGTTTGGGGTTTCATTCAGTATGGCGAGATCTGCAACATCAACAGCCTGAGGTGTCAAGACATCTGTGCTGCCCATTACAGTACAAACCACAGGAGAGGGACAATTCTCCAGCAGGATAGCGCTCCTTCTCATACTTCAACCTCCACATCAAAGCTCCTGAAAGCAAAGAAGCTCAAGCTCCTCCAGGATTGGCCAGCCCAATCACCAGAGGTGAACATTATTGAGCATGTCTGGGGTAAGATGAAGGAGGAGGTGTTAAAGATGAACAAAAAGACTCTTGATGAACTCTGGGAGTCCTGCAGGAAGGCTTTCTTCTTCATTCCAGATGACTTTATTAATCAGTGATGTGAGTCATGTCAGAGATGTATGGATGCAGTCCTCCAAGCTCATGATGGAGTCAGACACAATATTCATTCTGTCTCCACTGCAGCAGGACTTTATACTCTATACTGGACATTATTGAAGGTTCAGTGATGAGACTTTAGTCTGAGCAGAGTCAGAGCTTACTGTCCTGATCAAATCATTAATAATCAAGACATGATCAGATTTTATTGAGCTCAAATAAGCAAAATCTAGAGGCCTTTACCTTTCATAGAGACACTTCTGACACCAAATCATCAACTAGAAGTCCAGTTATTATTTGCTGTTCCTACAACTTGAATAGGCGACAAGACTTTTGTCAGGTAGTGTATAAACAAAGTGGCCATTTCAGAGTTTGTATGTCAAGAGAAGTGTGGATTATGCAAATCAGCTACTTTGATCATATTGATGTACATTAGTAGCAGGCAAGAGATTGGAGAAAATAATGATTCATTAAGGTGATTGAGAGCTGGCTCTTCCTTTTTGCAGCAACATTTTTATTTATCATTCAGAATTTTTAAAGCCGGCTACGTTACAAAGATACGTTTAGAAAACCCATATGACCTGCTCATTAAACTGGTAATTAACGTGTTAAAATATTTCAAATAAACACACTTCAGATGCACCATTGCATTCAATTTTAGTTCCTTCCAGAGAATATGAGTGTGTTTTGTTTATTAGATATCGTCACCTTGGGATTATAAGGTTCTCTCTGCGTTCTGAATGATTCTGAGATATTGGGCTTCAAAGTTTTTGCATTCCATATTGCAAACAGTATGTGTGCAACATTCATTCATTTTCTTTTGGCTTAGTCCCTTTATTAATCCGGGGTCAACACAGCGGAATGAACCGCCAACTAAAGCCTGATTTATACTTCTGCGTCAAGTGACCGGCGTAACCCACGGCGCATGCAACGCCCGTAGCTGTGCATTTATACTTCTGCGCGCTGTCTCTGTCAGTCTGCAAAAACACTTCCGAAACACTAGTTGGCAGTGAGGTGTTAATGTGTCTCTGTGTCGAGTTTCTTCACTGCTGTTTTGCTTTTCCTGAACACTTCCAGGATTTACAAGTGGCTGAAACTCGCTCATTATGAGGCAGGAACCGGCGGACGTGCAACAACTTTAACTATGAGGTAAACACAAAACAAAACTTTCCATCCGGAGCTCCTTCACGGGACTCCACACTTGTAAACAATCGCTCGCGCCATTCGCGCGGCTCTCGGTCCCGCCCAGACTCGTCAGCGCTACCAAGCCGACCAATCACAGAGCTTACGCTACGCGTCGTTGCGACGTGTAGTTACATTTTTTGAGAGGTGCACGTCAGTGACGGCCACAGCGAAGGGCTATGCGTCAGCGCCGTAGCATACGCCGGCGTTTGACGCAGAAGTATAAATCAGCCTTTATCCAGCACATGTTTTAAGCAGCCGATGCCCTTCCAGCTGCAACCCATCTCTGGGAAACATCCATACACACTCATTCACACACAGACACTATGAAAATTTAGCCTACCCAATTCACCTATATAATGCATGTGTTTGGACTGTGGAGGAAACCCATGCGAACACGGGGAGAACATGCAAACTCCACACAGAAATGCCAACTAACCCAGCCGAGGCTCGAACCAGCGACCTTCTTGCTGTGAGGCGACGGCGCTACCGACTGCGCCACCGCGTCACCCTGTATATAACATTATTTTTTTAAATAAAAAGTCTTAAAATGTAAACAACTTATAAAAAGCATCCCATAATGTAAATAAGTTTAATAAGAATATGTCAATAACTCAAATTTGACGAAAATGTCCGATAGAACCTTATAATTGTAAGGTGACGATGTATTGTTTTTTATTTTAAGCAATCACTGCAAGTGCAGTAAGCCAACATTCTCTAAAATTGATGACACAACCTTTAAAAACACACCTTAAAGTCTGCGTGAACCGGACGTTGTTGAGACTTTCATTCCAGTATGTTTATGTACTTCTAACTGAAAGTGAATATTGAGTAGGGGGCGGGGCTTTCTGTTTGCGCATCATTCCCTAGCAGCAAACTACTGAAGAAGCAGCCAATCCAAACGCAGAAGCAGATGATCAGACTTTGGCTGAAGATGACCAAAACATTTCTTTTCAGTGGATGAACTTGCACGTATTAATCGTACACCTAAAGAATGACAATGTGCGCTAGCAAAATAAACAGACGTTTGGATTTCACACAGACTTTAAGATTCTCAGCGTGAAGATCTCATGTCTTTGTATTATATGCGATCATTCAGACAGGATGGACACGTAAAATGTGTGAACAGAACGATTGAAGTTGAGTGTAGTTGTATTTAAAACCAGAACTCGGACACGTAGATGTGAACGTTGATGATGTTACGGTGGGAAACGACTCCGTTTGTGACGTAGTTCATGGCCAGCTTCAGTACGGTGCTGACGGGACCAACCAGCGGCTTCACCTGTCTGACCACACCTGCGGACCACAACATACAGTCAGAAAAAGATTCATAGCAGATACACTAAACACAAACCATGCAGATGACATTGAATCCAACTTTTTAAAACCCAACTGCTGCTGCTTGCATGGAAAAAAAATCAGGTAAATTGATTAATTTATTTTCTTTCGACTTCAGCCTGGTTTATATTCGACGCGTCCACTAGTTTGCTTGAGTGTGCGTGACGAATGTGACGTCATCGTGGTGTCCGCAGAGGTTTGCTTTGGGTACGTGCGACATGATTTTGACTGGTGGAGCACGTGATTTTTTTTTTTGAGATTCGAGCGAACAGTGTGCGTGTCACCGACTCGGTCCTACTCATTCCCCTTGCTGGCCAGCAGAGGTCATCATCACCGGACTATTAGCATTACGTCATCCTCAGACACTGATTGCAACACACCTGATGCACATCACACTGATCACCCACACACACACATATGAAGGATTCGGATTTCTGCTTTCCAATCTGTCTCATCATCATGGACCAACGTTTATCCTTTTCATCATCCTGTTTCTCAGTATTTAATTGTGAATTGATTTTAATTAATGAATAAGTGAACACATTGCCTAATATGAGAATGTTCAGTGCATGAGGCTGTCTCTTTATAACTATTTTCAGAAGCCACCAATCTAGGTCAGAGGTCACGGAGACGTTGAGTGGAACTGAGGGCCGAGGACTGGAAGCAACTGTTTCTATTGTTATTTCTATGAGTTAATATTGTCTAAAATGTCTAAAGGGATTTTGCTATTTTTACGGTTAATTCTTTTAAAGTGATTCTACTTTTTATTCAAGATAGACTTTGTGTAGTCAGGATATAACTGCATGAATGTAGATTATACCGGTTTTTAACGAGTTTTGATAAAGACGGCTGAGAGTACACTCAGCCTTGGATAAGAAACAGATTATACTTTGTGTGTGTGTGTTCTATTTGATTGTTGATCCATTTCACAGGTCTGGAGTCAGCTCTAATCAGTCTAAAGGATGTCTGACGTTTATGTTTAGATGTTGTGGCTTACAGACTCTGAGGGGGCATACGGGTCAAACACCGGCAGCACCAATTAGATTTACTTCTGAAAGGCCTGAGTAAGATTATGTATTAAATACATTTACAAAGACGAAAACTAATGAGGTTTTTGCTATATTAGTTAGTTTCAGTTAGTTCTAGCTTTTTTGAAAAACTCTCATTTTTATTTTTATTTCAGTTAACCACAATTATTTAACATTTTAGTTTTCGTTTTTATTGTTCCTTTACGTTAACTATAATAACCTTGCCGTCCAATCAAAATAATCAAAATTGCAATCATACAAGTACACATTGCAGTTCAGTGAACTCTTTCAGATCAACGCCTGTCGCGGCAGAGGCCTTTGCCTTTCATATAAGCCACTTTTGATACCAAATCATCAACTAGAAGTCCAGTTATTATTTGCTGTTCCTACAACTTGAATAGGCGACAAGACTTTTGTCAGGTAGTGTATAAACAAAGTGGCCATTTCAGAGTTTGAATGTCAAGAGAGGTGGGGATTATGCAAATCAGCTACTTTGATCGTATTGATGTACATTAGTAGCAGGCAAGAGATTGGAAAAATCTTTGTTCAGTGAACATTTCTCTGTCAGATCAACGCCTGTCGCAGCAGAACAACAGTTTATCCAGCCGTCTGAAAGAAACAGGAACCTAAAAAACACAAGATAAACGACGCCAGGGTTTGGCCAAACATTACCATCTGCATTTTAGTACTCGTGTCTGTCCCTAGTTAATGCTTTGGCTTGAAAGCGCTCTCTGAAGTTTAAAATTATGGATCTTTTGTCTTTTACGGAGACAAAACATTGTCATAATTATGTCTGGGCCTCTATTAAGTTGCGGTAACGTAACCGACACAAAGTTTATGAAAATAAAAATAATTCACAGCCGCTATGGAGCGATTCAAAAGACGCAGCACATACTAAAGCTCCATTGAGATGATGGATGCGACGCTCATTGTTACAGAAACAAAGAAAACAGCATTTTCCCAAAGGACGCGAGACATCCTCCATTATAGGCCTGGCATCAACCAAATGAGACCAAAATGCTGGAAAATCTCCTCAGAGTGAATAAATGAAGGAGACGGAGACACTGGGTTTATACAGAACTGTCAGCGCCTCATCTCACGCCAGAGCTAAAGTCACTTCAGTGAGTCCAAGCTGTAAAGTTTCAGTATTTGGTTTGATCCCGTTCTCTCTTTGATTAATTGATTTGCTTAAAATGTCTCGTAAAGGCTGTGAATTGATGTTGAAATCTGTCGAATGCAAGTTAAGCAATACAGATTCATAAAGCTTCAAAACCCATGTGAATCTTTTGATTCAATTGATTGAATCACGTTACTTTTCAGCAAAGAAGATTTTGTATTGTTGTAATGAAGGTGATTACATAAAGCAAATTTTCCACTGATATCCTTTCAGTTTTTAATGTAGGTTTAGTTTTAATTTGAATAAATGTACGTGAATAAGAAATAGCAAGAGTAACATGTGCGAATTCTTTGATTCGGTTGACTGAATCACGTTACTTTTGAACAAATGAGGTTTTATTATGAAGAAGGTAAATAAATAAACCAGATTTCTGACTGATATCCTTTCATATAATAATGTAGGTTGAGTATTAATATTAATAAACATGTGAATAATAAATAAAGTAACGTGTGAATCTTTTGATTCAGTTGACTGAATCACGTTACTTTTGAACAAATGAGGTTTTATTATAAAGAAGGTAAATAAATAAAACCTAGACTGATATTCTTTCATATAATAATGTAGGTTGAGTATTAATATTAATAAACACGTGAATAATAAATAGAGTATTGTGTGAATCTTTTGATTCAGTTGATTGAATCATGTTACTTTTGAGCAAATGAAGTTTTGTTGTGGAAAAGGTGAATAAATAAAGCAGATTTTAACTGATATCATTTCATACATTAATGTAGGTTGAGTATTAATATTAATTAACATATATGTGAATTATAAATGTCAATAGTAAAGTTAATTTTTATTTTATTTTATTGATTGAATCATCTTTTCATCAAATTAGGTTTTATTGTGATTAAAGTAATTAAATAAAGCAGATTTTCCACTGATATCCTTTCAGTTTTTAATGTAGGTTTAGTTTTAATTTTAATAACTGTACGTGAATAATGAATAGCAAGAGTCACATGTGCGAATCTTTTGATTCAGTTGACTGAATCACGTTACTTTTGAGCAAATGAGGTTTTAATATGAAGAAGGTAAATAAATAAACCAGATTTCTGACTGATATCCTTTCATATAATAATGTAGGTTGAGTATTAATATTAATAAACATGTGAATAATAAATAGAGTAATGTGTGAATCTTTTGATTCAGTTGATTGAATCATGTTACTTTTGAGCAAATGAAGTTTTGTTGTGGAAAAGGTGAATAAATAAAGCAGATTTTAACTGATATCATTTCATACATTAATGTAGATTGAGTATTAATATTAATTAACATATATGTGAATTATAAATGTCAATAGTAAAGTTAATTTTTTTGATTCAATTGATCGAATCATCTTTTCATCAAATTAGGTTTTATTGTGATTAAAGTAATTAAATAAAGCAGATTTCTGACTGATATCCTTTCAGTTTTTAATGTAGGTTTAGTTTTAATTTTAATAACTGTACGTGAATAATGAATAGCAAGAGTAACATGTGCGAATCTTTTGATTCGGTTGATTGAATCATGTTACTTTTGAGCAAATGAGGTTTTGTTGTGATGAAGTTGAACAAATAAACCAGATTTTAACTGATATCCTTTTATATAATAATGTAGGTTGAGTATTAATATGAATAAACATGTGAATAATAAATAGAGTAATGTGTGAATCTTTTGATTCGGTTGATTGAATCATGTTACTTTTGAGCAAATGAGGTTTTGTTGTGAAGGTGAATAAATAAAGCAGATTTTAACTGATATCCTTTCATACATTATGTACAGTAGGTTGAGTATTAGTTTTTCATTAACATATATGTAAATAATAAATGTCAAGAGTAACATTGAATCTTTTGATTCAGTTGATTGAATCATGTTACTTTTTATCAAAGATTTTGTTGTGAAGGTGAATAAATAAAGCAGATTTTAACTGATATCCTTTCAATTTTTAATGTAGGTTTAGTTTTAATTTAAATAAAACATGACTAATAATTAGCAATAGTAACATGTGCGAATATTTTGATTCAGTTGATTGAATCACGTTACTTTTTAGCAAATTAAGTTTTGTTATGAAGAAGGTAAATAAATAAACCCTATTTCTGACTAATATCAGTTTTTAATGTAGGTTTGGTTTTAATTTTAATAAGCATACATGAATAAAAATGTCGAGAGTAACGTGTGAATCTTTTGATTCAATTGATTGAATCACGTTACTTTTCAGCAAATGAGGTTTTGTTGTGAAGAAGGTGAATAAATAAACCAAATTTTCGACATTATCCATTCATATATTAATGTAGGTTAAGTATTAATTTTTAATAAACATGTGCGATTTTACCTGATATCCTTTCCGTTTTTAATCTAGGTTGAGTATTAATTTAAATAAACATGTGAATCTTTTGATTCAGTTGATGGAATCACGTTACTTCCGACTGATATCCTTTCAGTTTTTAATGTAGGTTTGGTTTTAATTTTAATAATCATACATGAATAATAAATGTCAAAAACATGTTTAAATCTTTTGATTCAGTTGATTGAATCACGTTACTTTTCAGCAAATTAGGTTTTGTTTTGAAGAATCTGATTAAATAAATCAGATTTTAACCAATATCCTTTCAGATTTTAATGTACGCTTAGTATTAATTTAAAAAAAACGAATTGGCTTAAATAGCTCCCACATAAGCTATATTTAATATCATAGCATACATATTTAGGGTAATAAATGATTTGTAGATTACAAATTCATTAAAAAGGTGTACTTTGCAAACGTAGTCTTTTGTTTT